GTGGAGTCAGCTCACGAGCCTGCCATCAGGAGCAAACACTTCCCATTCTTCTAACACATGCATTACTCACGCATTCTCTCTTCCCTCATGCGGTATTCCGCTTCAAGATATGTCTGGTTTCCTCCGAACCAGCGAGTGCAATTCCCCAGTGCAGGTGCGGGGGTCAATTGATGCCCTTGGCCCGACGATGAAGAATCACCCGAAGGATTAGGTTTGAGTACACAACATAGAGATCCGAACGAAAGCCCCACTTTCCAAAAGGGACGATGCATGCCGTCCTTACCCGTCCCACTGTCCCCTGCCTATGCTACCCGAACCCACCCCACCCACTGCAAACCACACCTTGCCCCCACCCGTTAAGTCCCCATGAATTTGTGACGCCCCTGTCTGAGGCTAGTCTCGAGCTCCTCCAGATCCCAGACCCATGTTGCTTGACACCTCCAGATCCACCTTCCACCATCGTCTTCGAACCAGAAAAGGAAACTGCGCGGATCATAGGCGTGAGGCGATCATGAGGCAAAATGATGGCTGTGACAAAGGTCTCATTCTGGCGCTCAAGGCCGCCTTCTTCCAACCAGATGCACAAGAGGCTGGCTCTTGGGAGCAAGGTGTCAGGACAGATAAACAGGTGCTTTCGGGCCGTACTCGCAGTCATGTGACCAAACTCCTGGCATGAGGGCTGAGGCTTCGGGATGCACATGGCGTACTAGGTGGTGCCACCAAAATTCGGTCCAGTCCATGTTGCAAGAGATTTGTCTTAGCAGGCCAAGAGCTTTCAAGCAGACCATGCGCTCAATAGTTTGCAACCTGTTGGCCAGGTGTTCAGCACCAGCAAGGCCTGTTCTGCTTGTATTTTTGCTACGTTCTCGGTGCACGGCTTCTACAAGTAGCTCGAAAAAATTGCTCTCAGTACCTTGGCGCGGTGCTCTGAGCAGCTTACCTGAAGTGTTAGACTATCCACGAACGCAATGTGCACAAGATTGTAGCACGTTATTCTGCACATTCTGCGCGTGCGTGCGCGTGCGTGCGCGTGCGTGCGTGTGCGTGGGTGTGCGTGGGTGTGCGTGCGTGTGTATCGATTCTCCAGTTGCGGGAGGCCAAGCGCCAGCCTTTCCCGGGCACATTTCAGACGCTCCGGCGAGGGGTGGCCGCGGAGGCATGGCCTAAGCAAGAACTCTGTGAGCGGTGTTGCAGTTTTAATGCGTCCCTTGCCCACCTCTGGTTTTACTGCATGAAACCACAAACCACGAGCTGCTACTCACAGGCAAAGTCATCCAATCAGCTCGCCCTTTTGCAAGAGCCCATGCATTGCAACAGGAAGGTGAATGGGAGAATCTGTGCGACCAGCTTGGCCGGAAGGCTCAGGAGCTGAATTATTCAATCACATTGTGTGCCGCAAATTCGGAGGCGGTCGAAAGGTTGGTTGGTGGGTTGAGCGAGTGAGATTGTGAGCTTCGATGTCGTTACGTGTTACGACAGTGCCTTTTTCTTCAAGTTCGGCTATTACAGAAGGGCTTTCCCCCCAGCACCGCCATGTTACTAGGCACACATCAGCCACTCAAAGTCAATGGGTCCTGTAGAGCTGCTATGTAGTGATATGCTGAATGCAAATGAACCCGATCTGGTCTCCAAGACCGCAACATCACTCTCAAGCCCTGCCCTCCCTCCCTTGGCTTGGATTGACCTGTGGTCATGCTGTTAAAGGGTCCAGTTTGCTGCTCCTTCGAGGCGTATATAAACATAGCTTGAAACCTCTACGTTGCTACCTGAAAGAGAGACTGCACGCATTCAGCCGCATTACTCGTACCTTCATCGGCCATGTTCTATGCCTCGAGCCCTTCTTTTGCGCAGTCCATGTAATGTACAGGCGCACAAGATCAGTGGTCATGCACTCTGCTGGCGCCCCATAGGATTGAGTTTCTTTTTGAGGCTGGATCTCTTCGGTGAGTTTCAAGCTCGACAAGGTGCGTCCAGCATCTGTCCGTCCGCACAAGCGAACTAATGAGTACCGACATGTTTGGAAAAATCGTTCTGCGAAGCTGTGATCCGTTTATATTAGCTAGTAGCCGAAAGAGGTTTTGCATCAGTTTTAGTGAACCAGCGTGTTCTAGAATCATTCTAACTTGCAGCTTTTTTCGCCTGCATGCCCCCCAAGGAAGAAGTAGTTGCCTGGTCGTCATCCTATGCTTGCATATCTATCGAATCAGCAGGTTTGTGAGATTCTGATGTCGGAGTTGGGATTTTCCCGAATCTATCCAAAACATGCGTATGGAGATCTGCACCCCGGCACCAGACTCTGCAGACATGTTCGCAGGTCTTGCAGCTTCCTGCTTTCATGCGTCTATCTCACCACCTTAAGAGAACAGGGACGGTATATATATATATATATATATATGTGTGTGTGTGTCATCCCTGTCTCAAAGGGCTAGGTAAATCTGATGTTAGTTGTTTTGACAATTCAGGGGGCATGGGCTATGGAACATGACTGGAAGGGAGACTGGACGCAGTTTCCTGTAACTGCAAGAAACCGGCATGGGGGACTGATGTCGCAACTTGCTGTTTCAACCAAGAGTGTCATCATGTCCGATTGCTCTGCATACTGTTGGCTTCGTGACAGTCTTGACATGTCAGTGATGCAGTCATGTGCCAGTCAGTAAATTTGAGCCTTGAGTCCTACAGACAATGACAAAACGCAGCAGCTAGACAGTAAAGAGAACAAAGCAGGATTAGGAAAAGAGCCACATGTCCGACTTACATCTGGATCAAGAGGTCTACTGCAAGTGTGTGTGCGTGTGTGTGTGTGTCGCGTTGAAGGATTCTCGCTGGGGCAGCAGCTGAAACACTCAGATGGGCAGCGCTGGCTCGTAGGATCAAGACATGATTACGTCGGATTGTGCAAAGCTAGATTATGACGCTCCAGGCCATCAGCCTCAGAGTGGAATTGTGGTTGTGCACAGGCAGAACAGGGCCAAGATCTTTCCTCAGCAGTGGCCACCACGCGCCTCGGGCCGCACCACTTTAGGGACACTGCATGATAGTGATAGTGCAGCACTCAAAATTGCAAAGTCGTTGCCCGAGTCCAATCCTTGCAGCGCCTCTACCATTAAGTCTGTTTGTGTACTCAGGCAGTTTTACAACCCACCCCCCCTTCAGCAAGTGTTCGTCTAATGCAATTATTCAGGTATTCATGGAGATCATGGAGCATACAAAGCACTGTTTTTGCATTTTCTAGGGTTCCATTCCGAGATTCACATTGACGGGTCAGGGTTCCCGTCCAGCATATGAGAATAGCTGCAGTATTCACGGCTCCCTAGCGAAATGTGTTTAAGCAAGAAGTTGGTGACAGTATCATCAGCAAACGCTCGGAATCTTGAATGCAGCTCCCAAAAAGTGTTGTCCAACCAGGGCACCAGGGTTTCCCTAAGCACTGGGTGCCGCACCCCAATTGCTTCCCCCAAGTACGGAAATGCAGGATGATGGCCAGAATGCTTTCCATCAAGTACTGGCAGGATTCCAACACTGCTTTCCACAAGTACTGGGGGGAATCAGGAGCACGTGCTTGTGCTTCCGCCCGCCGACCCGCAGAATTCAGAAGGACGGCATGCTTGTTTGCCCAGATGTACTGGCGCGATTCAGGGTTTGTCGCGGCCAAGACGTTGCGCATGCAGTGGAACATATAATGAATCCGGCTCTCCGGGCGACCCGGCCGACGGATTCCACGTCATGACATGAAGAAGGCACCATTAGATACTGGAGGTGGCAGGCTTTAGAAGGTTTGGCAACCGGAAGACGGATTCCGCGCAAAAGGGGAAGAGTTCGAGTCGCAAACATCAGACGACGTCCTGAATGGAACCAGAGAAGAAACCGATGTAAAGTTGCATGCATCAGCGGCATGGAATAGATGTGAAGGAAGCGATGGAGACTCCGGGAACAGCAACAACCGGTACGTGCAGCATTGAGCAAAGCACGGTGCGTCGCCTTGTTATCTCAGTCGTGTCGGCATGAGGCCATGAAGTCAGCAGAGTGCTATTGACTCAAGTGTGGAGCTGCGCTAGAGTTGCTTTGGTCAGGAGGCAGACCAGGACCACTGGTCCCCGGGGCTTTATGCTGTCGATGCTTCTTCTCTCTCTTGATCTGCGATGCAAGATTCCCCTGTTGTTTTTGACATGCGGTGCTTTTGCAATGTGTTTGCAGTATTTGTCCCTGTTGTTCGTGGTGCTTTGCCCTTGTGCGTAGTTGTCCTCGCCTATGCTGGAAATGCTTGTCCTTTCCTCGCATGACCTCGGAAGTACGTTTTCCTCGTATGACTTTTCTTGTTTGTTCCTTGTCAAGTGTGCAAGCCGGTCTGCTGCCATGGCTGCGCACACACACACACACACGCACGCACATTTACGTGACCGACATCTTGTCCTCTGCATAGTCTCCTACGACATGACCTGGCGGTACCGGCTTGCGCTCTGTGGCAAGATTGGCCACGAGAGGTGTACGTGTTCGTTGCCTGGGGCGAAGCAGCTTGTCCCCCTGATGAACATGTCCATGCTAGCTGCTAACTCCATGCTACCAGTGCATCCATTGTGGCCAGAACTCCTTGCCCAAACCGTAAAAGCATCATGCTACCAGCGCACTCATCGGCCAGAGCCTCCGTGCCCGAGCGGTGATAGTCGGTCGTCTTCATCTTTGAGGAAATCAGAGCTCTTTGATGCACTTGTAGGGTTGAGGCGGGAGCACGCCCATATTTCGCATCCCCAGGATCTAGTCAGTAAGTAAGAGTTCTGCTTCCACTGATTAAGCACGTTGCCCATGTCCACCGCTTCGGGCTTTCGGTCGACTGCACGAGCTCCCCTCGGCGAGTAAGATTGCGATACGTCCTGCGCCCCGCCGCCCCGCATGCCGAATGCCTCCACAGCTGCAGATTGCTCATTCAGCTTTCTGCGACTCCTCGGCCCTCGGCCTGCTTGTTGCCGTAGTTGCAGCCCGGCGCTGCTAGGCAGTCTTGGGTGATGGCCAAAACTGCCGAGGTGGAGGACTGCGCAGAGATCTTGAAATTTGGAGCTTTTCATGCAACCGCCCTCAACGGCGCAGGAGGTGAACCGCATCCTGGACCCCACTGACCAAGATTGGAGTCTGACTCTCGGATGCGGTGCTTGTCGTGTGTGGAGGTTGCCTTCAACTGCAGCCTGCATGCAAGCGCTGTAACTTTTCATTCGCAGGACGGGTTTCGTACGGCAGGGGGTGATCGGATCATCACGAAGACTGTTCAAGACATTCTCGTGCGCACCTTTCGCAAGCTCGCGTAGTACTGTAGCAGCCTGCGAGCTTTTACAGAGCACATCCAGGCAGAGAAACGCAGATATGGCCCCTCAAGGATCAGATCTTGATACCGGGTGGTTGGTTGTTGAGTTGGAGGCTCGGAGGTCGAAGCGAAAACTGAAAGAGTGTTTTGCATGGTCGTGCCGTTGATTTGGGCGGAATTTCAGCCTAAAACCCCGTGAGTATTGCACGTGATCGTGGTTTCTTGGTCGACACACGGCGGATCCTGTTGACATATTCTCAGACATCCGGCACTCTATGGAACAAGCCCAGAGCTTCAGAGATGTGATGTCTACTTCTAGCTACGAGCGTTTCATCCGTGTGGAGCCCTAACTCCAAAAACCGGCGAAGCACTGGATTACTAACTCCTTAAGCTGCCTAAACACTACACCCTATATATCCCTATATAACTCCCTAAACTGCCCGTTCTACGTTTGCTTCAGCCTACAGTTCGTTTGCAGTGTCTGCAGTCATGCATTCCTGTAGCCCCTGCTGTCTGCAGTAAAGGAACTCGTCGACTGGATTCTCCAGCTTGCGGAGGGGAAATTCCGTGAACCTAATCTGAGACCTCGTCTGGCCGTGCCCGAGTTGCGAGAGCGTAAACTTTCAGAGGGAAAGGAACTCAACCCACAAGTTTTTGTACACACTAGCTCTTACCAAGTCTGGCGCTTGATCCGGGGAATTCGTCTTATTCCGTGCTAAATCTCACCAAGTTCTCCTCCCCCTCAAGAAAATCAGATGCTGTAGAAAACCAGAGCCGATATTCACGCGCTGGGTTGCTCAGCCGAAGCTGAAACGCCCAAATGCACATGTGACTTGGGCGCGTTTCTTCTGAAATGGTGCGACGCCTTCTTCTGTGCCTACACATCTTCCGAAGGTTGATTATGAAAAATCCAAGCCAAGCTTCTCCTGCTGACTGTCTAAGGATTGGACGCTTTCGCTGGTACATGTACATAAGCTTCTGCTGGCAGCACGCTGCCACCTAGAAGTTGAAATCGCTCCCTCTGCAGAAACAGGACGATCAATTTCCGTGCCGTTTTAGACGGTTCGGCATCTGCAGTCAGTCAGGAGACTTCATATAACTGAATCATAGAACCCCTCCTCCAGACAGAGAGTGTCCACACAGAGCAACTGCACGGTTTCCCGCAACAGCACCAGACGCGGACAGGCATTCTAAACAACAACAACAACAACAACAACAACAACAACAACAACAACAACAACAACAACAACAACAACAACAACAACAACAACAACAACAACAACAACAAGAACAACAACAACAACAACAACAACAACAACAACAACAACAACAACAACAACAACAACAACACCAACACAACAACAAAACAACACCAAAACAACAACACCAACAACACCAACAACACCAACAACACCAACAACACCAACAACACCAACAACAACAACAACAACAACAACAACAACAACAACAACAACAACAACAACAACAACAACAACAACAACAACAACAACAACAACAACAACAACAACAACAACAGCAACTGCAACTGCAACTACAACTACAACTACAACAACTACAACAACAACTACAACTGCCACAAGAGCAACAGCAACAGCCACAGGTAGAAGGAACAGCAGCAGCAGCAGCAGCAGCAACAGCAGCAACGACAGCAACGACAGCAGCAATAGCAACAGCTGCAGCAGCAGCAAAAGCAACGGCAAGAGCAACAGCAGCAACAGCAACATCCACATCACCAACACCTGCACCACCACCAACAACGCCACGAACACCGGCAACAGCAACAACAACAACAACCACGACAACGATGACAGTGTGCAATGGACTCTTTTTCAGATCCCCCACAGCTGTTTTGCTTGGCTAGCAGCAGCAGCAGCAAAGCAGCAAGATTCAGAAGTTCAGGGTTTTTAGAAGTTTGGGGAGTTATATAGGGATATATAGGGTGTAGTGTTTAGGCAGCTTAAGGAGTTAGTAATCCAGTGCTTCGCCGGTTTTTGGAGTTAGGGCTCCACACGGATGAAACGCTCGTAGCTAGAAGTAGACATCACATCTCTGAAGCTCTGGGCTTGTTCCATAGAGTGCCGGATGTCTGAGAATATGTCAACAGGATCCGCCGGACCAAGAAACCACGATCATGCGCAATACTCACGGGGTTTTTAGGCTGAAATTCCGCCCAAATCAACGGCACGACCATGCAAAACACTCTTTCTTCGCCTCGACCCCCGAGCCTCCAACTCAACAACCAACCCCCCCGAATCAACATCCACCTTGACGAGTGCACCCCGCAAGTTTCTACGAATGCTTTTCAAAGTGAACTCCAGCTCTGAAGGCCTTTGGCCCCGATTTTCGTAGACTCCTTACTTCTTCAGGATGTCAGAACAAGCGCACGCTTGCGAAAATGCCCACCCCAACAGTGTTACGTTCACAGGTGTGGACCAGATCACTCTCCGACAGCTGCATGCCACGGCCTTTTTGCATGGCGTTGCCAAATCATGAAGTGTGTGCATATTTCTTTGGGCAAAGGCAGGCAGGCTCAACACGCGCGTCATTCCTTGTGCTGGCCCAGGCGTGACTGCTTGCCGACTGCAATTCACCAAGGCATTGTCGAACCGCAGCCGGTCCTCGAAGACACAGAGCAAGCGAAGCATACAGCCATCGACAAATGCGGCATCCAGCTCAGGATCTGTACCGAAGACCACCGGAGAGCACAATGCAAGCAGTGCTAGCAGTCGACAGAATTCCTGCACGAGAGTTGCGCTGAGCGGGTCCGCCTTGAGCATGAGATCCCCACGGATCTTACGAGGCTGAGAAGCCTTCAGCCCAGGCGTCTGCCTCCAAGTCGCACGAACATGATCGAACATGTACCTGGAGTTAGGCTGTCACGCAGGTGGCCAATGCCTGAACTTCGAATTACAGAGCTCTCAGCTAGACCACTTCCAGAACGATAACCCAAATACAGCTGCAGAGCAGTTGGATATCTCATTGGTGACAGTACACTGATCGCCTGTCAACACCCTTCTGACTACGCATGCTCGCTACTCCGTTTATCGCTCACGAGAACGCTGCACGGCATTGCCTAGGTCGATCAACACTGTCGATGACGAAACTCAGGCAGCAGCAATGATGTGTGCAGTGTCTGCCTGACATGGAATTTGAGTTTGGAGGTGCGTCGGATACTCACGGACCTTCTCGGAGAATGGGTCTGGGCCTGGGATTCGCTGGTTGCGCACCATGTGGAGCCACTGAGCACTGTACTGCGACATACTGCGGCTCTGGTCGTGGCTGAAGCTTTGCTTGGGCACGCGGCATCTTGCGCACAAAGCACACCTACTTAGTGTTCTGTGCAAGGACAAGGTGCAGCCGGAAACGCTGGCTGGAAGAGGCTTTGTCGAAGAAGAGGCACCTTTGCAGAACGTGCTGCAATGGAAGCTGCTAAACTTGTGAGGTGGAAGGGCATGGCGGCATGGCAATGTTGACCCCTGGAAATGAGTGTCGTGAGACGGAATTGGCCACAGAATTTGGCATCCGCGAGTTTCGGTACCTTCCTATCCTTCCTGACCGTGACTCTGCTCCTGAACCTTGCCGTGAAGCCAGCACTGAAACTGCGCGAGCTGAAGGGAGCTGCTTCTTCCGCATGCCTCGATGTTTCTGCGCGTCGGCAATGAGAGGGCTGCAGTACGCTATGATGTAGTGAGCAACCGACAGTAGTGGTGCGATCCCTCCTTCCTCTGAGGTCTTCCGAGACCGGACGAACAAAGGCTACTGACTGTTTACTTTACACCGGCAAACAATGTGCGCGGCGTTTGCCATGATTTCACGAAACGAAGTCTTGCTAGCTGCTGGCATTGCCCTGCAGAAATCTGATTGCGCCTTTCTTGCACTGTGCCCCCACGCAATGCAACCCTTGTGCGGCGCATGGCAGCACGTCCTTGGAACCTGACCTTGCCACAACCATCCACGACCTCGAGGGTGCATGGAGTCCAGTGCAAAGGTCGCCAGCACAAAATGTTCGGCCAGTCAAGATGTTGGTCTCGCACCAATGGCTCGTTGTGCAAAGTCTCTCCTAGATCACAACCACCAATTGATTCATCAAGTTTCATAACATGGCCTGACAACCTGTCCAACCGTAGGATGCAGCCTGATGTGGCACCCTCCCTCATTTGCCCCCCCAAAAAATCAGAGACGCCTTGAATACCATGTGCCACAGTTGCGTCATTGACTGTTTCGAGGGGTGCGCTGGCTACTAGATCGTATCAGTAGCAGCATGATGAACCAGGTCGTGTCGCGGCAGCGTTCCATTTGGAGAGAGCCAGCGGAAGAGTAGCAGCAGCAGTGGTGGTGGGGGTGTATCAGTAGCAGCGGGAGGACAGATTTAGGCTTTTTGTCCAGCACATTAGACTAAACGATGCACCGAAGCCTGCCGGCTCCCACCCTCAGAACATTCATCGGGGAACCTTTGTTGTTCCGCGAACTTTGAACAGTGTGTTACCACAATGGAGCGCTTGGGGTTTCTCGTTCTCGGCAAAGAGGCATCGGTCAGTGTTCCCGCGACGCATGCGGAGGCCCACGGCGATTCTGCGGCTCTCGCTCTAGAGTTTTGATTAGTGTTCCATCTACGAAGCATTCGAAGGTCCACACTCCTGCCCGATTCGGCCTCTCGGGTGAAATCCTGTGGGGCCCGACTATGATGCGTCTCGTTTAACCTCCAAGTAGTGCTTCGATACCCTGTGCATCCCAAAGTCCCCTGTTGGCAACTCGGGCTCTATATTACGCCCGACATTTGGAGCGCCTCGAAAGTCCTGGCGGCTAGTGGGGCCACACTATGGGGTTTGGCGGACTCCCAATCCTGTCAGTACATGACGGGAACGATTCCGTCCTCCCTCCAGCTTCATGGTTCCCTGGTGGATCCTGGTGGTGCTCGTGGTCATCCTGGTGGTCCGTCGTCTTGGTAGTCCAGGTGGTCGTGGTATCTTCGGGACAGTAGCAGCCTGGCTTGCCCGAGTGTGAGTGTCAAAACCATGCATTCCAATCTGAATGTAACCATTGGTAGCAGACCAGAGATCAGATGGAGAAGCCACTCACAAAGAAGCACCACAGACATTCACATTGTAGAGGACGCACCAAACAGTCGCCGCGTGCTGAATAAGCTGTTCAATCGAAGCAAGCTCTGCTTCCACTGAACGCGTGCATGACTCGCCGCAAGGCCCTACCAAGAAAAGGAGCTGCGAGCATGCCGTGTGCTCGGAGACTGCACAGGAATAAGGCCGCAAAGCTAAGAGATGCTAAGAGCGGGCACAGTCTAACCAGCCGGAAGCTGAAGACCGGTTTCAGTCGCAAGTCGCAACACTTCTTGGCTAATGGAGCTGTGTGCACAAGCAACCCCATCGATCCCAAGCTTTTATTGCCTGCCAAGATCCTCCACGCCGGTATGCCTGGCATGGCATTGGGGGAGATGGACCACATCAGATGAAGGGAAGATGCAGCATCAAGAATGTTTGACATGCAAAAGATTTGGTGCGGCCTGCGAGACACACACACATATATGTATTTCTAAATATATGTATAATATATATATATATATATATATATCTCTCCCTCTCTCTCTCTCTCTCTCTCTCTCTCTCTTTTACGGACCCGGATCGAAAGGAAAGGATGTGGAGGCATTGAACCGCTGCATCGAATGCAGGCATATAGCGCCGACCTCGCCGGCATGCCGTTGCAGTGGCCGACGACAGGTGCACTGTCATGGTGTGGAAAGATGGATGCAGACCGTGACTTTCTTCGGCCAGTAAAGTGTGTCCAGAACAACGGAACCATACCGAACCAACGGCACCGCATCTTTGACCCGATGGGTTCCCAATGTATTGCTGAGGTGTGGCTGCTGGTGCGAGTGCTATGGCGTCGTCCAACCCAGGGTACACCATTCCAAGCCGGAGCCTGTATGTGCTGGCAGTGCTGGCATGTAGGTCGCTGCAATTTCGGCAGACTCCCGGCTCTGAGCGTGCATGGGTTTGGAACGGGGAGAGGGGGGGCAGGACGGCCACAAAAATCGTGAATGCCGGGTGATGATTTAGATTTAGATGTCCACTGTTTTTTTCGCATCCCGCAGCCTCATCCTGCAATACCTGGCATTCATCATGCAAGTTATCCGGCAAAGGCCCAAATCTGGCATGGCAGCAAAGGACCGCCGTAAGCCAGACTGCAGGCCAGGCCGGCCAAGTTTTGTTCGATGGCAGTATTTGTGCCCGAAATGCAAAGTCATGACCTTCGCCACTTCATCTTGACGTGCCTATATTCTTGACGCTTGCTTTTGGAATCCAACGATTTCTGTCAAGGACCTACGCGGGTCAAACAAACTCCGCTTGGACTTGGCTCGGAGCTGAGAGTTTGGTGTTTGCAAAATGCTAGCACAGCTTCAAGCATGTGTCCGCTGTTGGTTGATTCGGTCGACCGATTTTGATGCGCAGATGAGATTCCGCAAGAAACATGCCTCAGGTGTGGATTTGCTAAATGCCGGAGTCGCAGGAGGACATGAACCTGCGACTGTGGAGGTGTTCGATGTGTTTGCTGGCTGTCTCGTTGATTTGCTAGATGATTTAGGTTCATAAGTTGCCTTTCGGGTCCGGGGTGTTTTTCCGCATTGGCCAGGTCAGTGCATCATCTCCGGCCGGGGCCTCGATGCCTCAGTGCAGGTTCTGACGTTCAGAAGCATGATCCCACTTCGCTGCTCCGTTGTGGTACCTGAAGCCCGAAGTGTCACCTCTGTTGGGTTTTACTTGTTGTGCAATGGCGCAACCTGCACAGTGGTTGGTTCTGTGTCATGAAACACGACATGTTTCCATGAATCCCAGCCCAAAACGACTCAGGTCCCTGCCTTGTTTGGTCGATGCATTGCTTGTTCTTGTTTTAGCAATTTGTAGGCGGGCAAAAGCTCGGGTCACTGAGTCACTGGCTCCACGGCTTAGTGGCACGTGTTTGTTTTGGCGCTTGTGTGTGGCCTGTGGTTGCCTTTTGCAGGCTCCTGAGCATTCTGTGGTTTTTTGCTAGGGCCGGATTCGCTCGCGTTTTTGACGGCTTGGTGGTGGTTTCGGTCGCGCTTCTAGTCTCACTTTCACTACTTCGTGGCTTCATGTTCGTTGTTGGTCACTGTTTTTGCTTGCATTGATCTTCTTGTGTCTTCCGCGCCGCTGGTTTTGCAAGTTCCTTCATGGTCTTGGTTTGGTGGTTCGATTGTTTACTGCTTTTAACTCTAGGGCATCGTATTCGTTATGTTCGTGGTTTGTAGGTATTGATCACCACATATGAGTTCTTGGTCCTGCACATGGCAAGTGACATGCACGATTATGTGCGAAAGTTAATTACGAAAGACACAAGAGTCACAAGAGACGAACTACGAGGACATCTTCAGCTTGTGTTGAGATAGTTTGCCCCATGTGACGCTCATGGTACATGTTTAGCTCCATCCGGTCAGCATTATGTCGTCACAGCGTGAAACTTTCGAGGGTGCACAGCCGCCTCAGAATGCAAAGCAACAAAAGCGTCATCAGTGCAGCACTGCCCGATCAGAAAATCAACCCGCAATCTAGGTGTATCGTCCCATGCGGACCGCAAGAAGGGGACCCGCTGCACCCTTTCCCAACCCCTTCGGTTGCTTCTCGCTGCGCATGAACCCGTAACATCGTACAATATCGGTATCATGTAATGTCATGTTGCTTCATATATGCAGTGTCACATGGCATCGCCAGGCATCGTGCGCGATCATAAAATATGGTGGCATACAGCATCATGTCAGTTTCAATGAAAAATCTGACATCACATATTACGACATGCTATACTGCTATAATTAGTACATATTAGTACAACATAAATGTGCAGGGGTAGGATAGAATACCACATACAGTAGAACAGGTCATCATAGGGCAGAGCATGGCGAGGATCAAAGGTCTGTGAAGCAGCACAGGCAAGATTATCGCATGACTGCGTCTCGAATCCCGCCGCTGGTTAAAGTTGGCACAGATCCTGTCACGATTGCTACGTTTGAGCCCCTACTGCATCAAAAGATAGTAATTAACATCCCCGCATAAAGACAGTCCCAATCGTTTGCGATGTCCCGTCATGGCGAGCTTGCGCCGCTAAAGAACACAAGAGCAAGGTGCACAAACTCGTGGAGCCGCCGCATCTTTTGCGCACAGTCCAAGCCTTGGTGCCCTAGTGTTCTGCTCAGCGAAAGGATCCGGTAAGAGATAATCATTACAGTTCTGCGTGACCGCCGAGGCAGCTTCGCAAGATGTAGTGCGTTTTTGTCGTGCGGCAAACAAAAACATGGTCTATGTCAATGTCCCTGTTTCCAGCAGTTGAGATCCAGTAGCCTTCAGAGCGCAAGATGATCAGAGCTTTTGTGCACGATGCTGAGGCACTGGAGTGTACCGAAGATGATCAGGACGACGAGGCCTGGTTTCACAACAGGTTAGAGATCGCAGAGAGCGAAAAGCTTGTGCCAGAGCAGCTGCCTGTCATGATTTGCAGCAGGCCAGCAGAAGTTCATGATGCAGTTCGGTTAACTCATAAGAGGATGATAGGATGGGCTGGTGAATGCACAGATTCGAAGGTTTATTTGTCACTGCCTTTCCAGGACGGAATTTGGCCGCTGGCCTGCCTCTTACAGCTAACCACGTTTGTCATCGTGAAAGCTTGCAGGGCTCGGTTTCGCCGAGATTCTCAGTGTGCTTACTCGTTCGTGCACCACCACCTTGCACATGTGCAGACCGTGGATCAAGAGAACCTGAGCCAATTTGGAGGTGGCCTGCTAGATGAGTCTAGAGTCTAGAGTCGAATACTCGTTTTGCCCAGCTGTCTCACCCTGAATCCCACAGCCCACAGCCGTACCCAGAGCCGTGAGTTCGCCAAGAATGCCTCCTTGTCTCCCATGGCATCCTCCGAGCTGTCATTGCTGCCCCTGAAACCTGGGGCCCGGGGCGCGGCAAGTTTGAGTGATTTTTTGGTGCTATAAGACCAGGCTGCAGGCTGTGCAAACCTTGGCATTGAGGCATGTGCAAACATGAAAGACAACGCCTGGTTTATTGAGCTATACTAGGTTCCGCACCAGATATTCTCCTGATTTCTCACATTCGCCCGGTAGAAAGCATCCGAATCGAACTAAGCAGTCGAGGGGTTCTAATTCTATCTATTCCGTTTTCCAGCCGGAGCTTGTCAATTCTGGTTTCTCTGTTCCCCCACAGGATCAGCTGTGGCGGCGCATCGCAGATGGCCGCTCAGCATCACGAAATCCAGAAAGATGCGGTTTTGCGAGCAGTTCACGTGACGGAGCTTGTTGAATTTAGTTTGTTGTTCGGGCCACCCTGGACGCCCAGGCAGTTGCTGGCATGCATTGCCAGAGCCCCAAGTCATTTTGACCAGTTATCTCATGTACCGCTTGCAGGTTGCGCGCGTTTCTGTTGTCACAGAGGTTTGTTTTGTTCTGGTTCTATTTGCTATGGGATGTATCAGTGCACGCACGGCATCTATCGCAATACTCTTCTTCGGACGCCTGGTGCCTTCTGACCTGTACAATGTGGCCCGAGCAAGCACCTCGGAGCAGCTGAGCATGAGTAGCCAGACCGTTGGAATCAGAACTGGCCATTCTTGTGTGTGTGCGTGTGCGCGGATGTGTGTGTGTGTGTGTGTGTGTCTGTGTGTGTCTGTGTGTCTGTGTGTGTGTTTGTGTGTGTGTGTGTGTCCATCCCTGTTTCGAAGGGTAGGTAAATCTGAGTCGAATGAGCAGGGGGGCAGTGAGCCTTCTATCATCCACTGCCCAACGAAGACGGTGATAGAAGTGCTGTGAAGCAATCTGGGACGCCAGATTGTGTACCTGCATTGAAATGGCACGGGGGCCAAGCCACAAACCCCTTTCCGAGCTGTGTTTGAGTGAGGGCTTGCATTGGTCAGTTTCTTGCTCAGTTCCTGTTCAAGAGTTTGCCTGTGAATGCGACAGTCATGAGTGAGGGTCTGCACATGTCAGTCTTACATGAGTGATTCGTGTTTGTCCTATGGTAGTACTTCAGATTGCATGTTCTGACTTTCTCGTGCAGCCTCTGACTTTCCCTGACAGCTGCTGACTTTCCCTGACAGTATGCACCGACAGATCAGACCTGCGACACGATGTGTCAAGTGTGCTTCACAACGGCATTCCCTATGGGCGCCGTGTCTCCCAGAGGTAGCTCTGGCGCTGACTTTCCCGATTGACTGTATAAGCATTGGATGACTTTCCCTGATTCTATATCCGTGCTTGCAAGCTGACTTTCTCAGTGAGTCTCTACCAAATGCCTGTACCGAAACCTGAATGCTGACTTTCCCACTGACTTTCTATGATCTGATTGACTTTCCCGAATCTGACTTCACCGCTGACTTGTCGCAGGTCTTCGGCTACAAGTTGAGTACATGAGCTGTACTTTTGGGTAGTTGCTGATCAGTTTGCCATGGATGCCTCAGGAAAGAGACGCGGTACCCGCACATCAATTCCCCCCCCTCCTCCCCCACCTCTCCCTCCACCCTCCTCCTCCCCCCTTCCCCCTTTGCCCCCCCCTCCCCTCCCCGCTTCTGCCCCTCCCCCCTCCCATGGCACCACGCCGAAGTGGATTCCACCCCCCCCTCCCCTTCCCCCTCCCGCCTTCCCTCCCCCACCCCCCACTCCTGCAGTTTGCCCGACGCCTGCTCCATCTTCTTCTTTGCCGATCCCTTCTGCATCCAATGTTGGTTTGGGAACAGCAGATGTAGCTCCTACCTTGATTGCTGCACGTGCTGTAAATGATCGGCCTGTTCCACAGCAAGAGGTTCCACCAGCAATCACTCTTCATGCAGATGGCGCAGGTTTCCGTTTGTCGTTTCGTTCGGTGGCCGATTTTGCTGAATACTCAGCAATCATGTCGGCAAACTTGACACATGTCCGAGGCCACAGAGATGTGTATGCTGGCCTTAACAATTTGCTCGACATTCAGCAGACTGTTGTTTCTCAACAGAATCAGTCAACAGCATCTGGTCAGAGCCAGCAGTCAGCCCTCACATTTCAAACGGATGACTCATCCCAGCCCTCAAAGCGACTTCGGCAAGTCCATGGAAGCGGAGTTTCTCTTGTCGCAGATCCCAACAGCATTCGACTTCGTGCAATTTGTGATCAGATTCCTGGTACTCATGCAGATCGTGTAGGGTGGCAGCTCAGTGCGGACCAGACTTACGTCTTTCGAGTTAAACCCTTGCAAGACTCGTACGAGCATTTTGAGAATCGATCTCTTCTCAAAGGGCATGTGGAAGTTGAGTGGGAGCAAGATTCAAACTTCTTCGTGATTCCTGAACTTCGTGGGTTGGAAGTGCGTGATGAAGAAGCGAAGCTGATACAAGTGTACTCAGCCAGCTTCAATTGGGTCGCATTATACCCCATGTTTACTGCTCTACGTCACTTGATCAGTTCCAGCCCTGGCCGTATGAAATCGGCATGTGAGATTTCGAGAAAGATACAGGCCAATCTTGAGTTGCAGGTTCCCAGCTCTTTGATGCAAAGCACTGCGGACTATCTGATGAGCCTGTTAGGTCTTCCTTCCCAGTCTGTCAATTCGACGGCATTGAAGTATGTCTCTCAGGCAATTGCTGCAGCCGACCAAGCTGCAAACATTCACTCTGTTGAGCTTCGTTCTTTGTCGAGTTCGTGCAAGTGCTTGAGCATCCACTTCACCCACTTTGAGAGGACCATGGTCAGGTCGCATACTTCTGCAGCAGGGATTGCTCGTTCGCCTGTTGCACACAACACAACAGTGGCCGGGGCTGCATCTATCCTCCTTGAGGGAACGATTCGACCATCGTATTGGGATGCTCGTGACAGCATGTGGTCCCCACCAGTTTCCTTCTATTCTAGGGCTCATACTTCAGATGCAGAACAAGCACAAGAGGCAGCGTCCAAGTACGGTGGCATTCTGAGTGAGCGTCCGGTGTGCATTTTCGGATCTGCATTTAACCGTCAAGGGTCCCTCACGCCTCCCCATTCAAGGATCCCCATGGGAGGAGTTGAGGGTGACCATTCCTGCAGTTACATTCGTGACGTTGCCCGTGCCAAAGATGGCAGATGGGTCTTTCGCTCCTCATGTTTCATCCCGGAAGCGCTTCTTGTCTTTTGGAAGGTCTGAGTGCAGCATGCTGCTTTGACCAGCCACGTTCTCAAGTCTCTTCCGTTGTCAATTGCTATGTACGCATACACGTGTCGAAAACATGCCAGTTAAGATTGTGAGATGTGCCAGCAAGAGATATGCAAGTGTGCTGCAAGTGAAGTGTCAGCGGTAGTGCAAGGGTGTGCGTCAGAGGTGCAAGAGAGCAAGTGTGGTGCAAGAGTTGTGCAAGCGATGTGCAAGCGCTGCAGTTTGAGAACAACTTGAGCAGGTATGTTCAACTACGGAGCCCTTTGATTCGAAGTGTCCTTAGCGATCCCGTGGACTTAGCTTTGTCGCTAGTTCTGAAACCATGGCATGGAATGGACAGTGGGACACCAACACAGGGTACGGGAGATCCCAACAATCGTGGGGTCAGCATCGCTATCAGCCGTATAGCTCGGGAAGTTGGAATGATCCCAACCTCTCCAATTCTGCCCCTGCTAGTCAGCCACCTCCCCTACCTCCGCCTCCACTTTCTTCGGCACCTTCATCATCGCCGTCTACTCCCATGCCACTTCATCAAGGTCCTGGTCTTGCTCCTGCACTACCGAATGGATGGGCGTCAGATCGTGATCATTATGACTCAACGGTGCTTCATGGGTTGTCTTTTCGTAAGTACATCGAAGCCACCCCGTGGTCGCGAAAGAAAGGGATCGCAGGAAAAGATCCACTCAGCATTCCTGTTCAGGAATTCCTGTTCCATGGAGTTTCAGATTGGCGTCTTCGAGCATTAAGTCATGGCAAGTTTTTCAGTGTTGTGCCAGTTGCTACAGTTGCTGAAGCAGTGTTCATGTCGCAAGTGACGAAGAACCTTCGGGATCGCAAAGTCGACATCGATGCAGTTGCTACGCAACTTTTTCAGGCCGCTAATCCATCCACAATCATTCCCAACAAGAACACGGATTGTGCAGTCCTGTTTCAGCCGCTGGTTGACAAGATCGTTCAGCTCATGTTTGACAACATGCCGGCGCCCACAGGCGTTGACCAATCTCAGAAGTTCCTTCAAGTTTCGGAAGAGCTCAATCGACGTCGTGAACAGTTGCAAGCCGCAGGACTTCCCGTTACCCCTACGAAATCCGCTTCGAAAACACAGCTCCCGGTTGCTTCGCAATCTAGTGCTCCTTGTCTACAATCCGGGACACCACCGAAGACTTGGGAGAGTGACCTCAAGAGTAAGATCGACAGTGTTCCTGCTGAAGCCTTGAACGATCACAAAGCCCGACTAAAGGGATCAGGAGAGGGGGACGTCGACAAGTGGATCCAGAGTTTCAAACGACCCCTAGGCAAGCGTTTTGCAGAATTTCAAGAGCACATTGTGTCTGTCTCCAAGCTTGTGCAGATCAACTATGGAGGCAAGGAGAAAGCCAAACTGCAAGAACTTGCAGTCAAATTCGGGATCTCGGCGACCTTTGCATCTAGGATGGGCATCAAGAGTCTTTCTACGTGCATTGCAGCGGCAGCTTTTCAAGTTGTCTGAATTGCACACAGCCTTGCTTCCAAACAATTCTCCGCAAAGGAGATTCGGTCAGCACATGTTCTTATTACAGAGATTGGCAAGTTCATGTCGTTTGTGCTTCAATTCATTCCGCATGTGGACACAGTGATGGCCATTTGGTTGCAAGGTTTTTGTCATCTGATTCTACTGTTCCATTACTCCAGGGGTACTTCGCCAGAGCAACGGCTGCTTGAAAAATTGCACAAAGCTGGAGTTACGCCGTCTGAGTACACGTTCACACGGTTTCAGAGTCCTTGTGCAGTTTATTTGAAAGCTCCCGTGTCTTGGAGTACGCGTTCATCGTTCAAGCAAAGAGACCGATGGATGTATGTGGGAAGTACCTCAATTACTATTTCAAAGCGTGAATTCAACCGTCAGTCCAAACTCAAGCAAGTTCTCCGTGAGCAATATGTTCAAGTTGAACCGGCCATTCGTATTTGGGCTTCGCTGGGCAGTTATTTCGACTTTTCTACACTTTGTCTGTCGGTTCATGATGACTACAAACAAGCTTGGGTGCAAGAGCATGTCCTCATTGATCGGTGGCAGCCCAGATTCAATTCACCGTTCATTGACCGCTTCTTTATTAAGTCAGCATTGGGATTCAAGAGACTCAGGCCACGTCCATCTCTTAAGAATGTATCATTGTTTTCCAGACTTTGGGCAAAAGTTCGAAGACGTGCTGCTTCAACAAGTACTCCGAC